ATAAATAATAAATAAATAAGCAAGCAAGCTTGGTTCGGACAGGGACCTGCCATCACAGCACTCGGAAGACTGAGGCAGGAGGATCAGAAATTCAAGGCCAGTCTGAGAACTTAGTGGGATCTCATCTCAAATAAAAGATAAAAGAGGACCCATTGGCTTTTAAGTGAACGTGCTGCCAGTATCCGTGCCTTAACCTACTGCTTCCTCGCAGGTTAAAGATCCCAGCAACCTGATCCAGACTCCCTTTGTGAGATGTGTGGCTTGGAAACACGAAGTTTTAAGTTTTTCATTAAAAATGGCATTCAGAGCGAGGGCAGGAGTGTGAAGAGTGGCAAGGCGCACGTGTGTACCACACGCACATATGCCTGGGCTCCTGGCTTCAGTCCCTGCGGCGGGGGCAGAGATCGCTGTGAGAAGTGAAAGAAGTAAAGCAGATGAAATGCTTAGAAAAAGTGCTTAATAAGTGCTTATTGAAAAATAAAACCAGAATGAAGTTGAGAGAGGGAGAGAAAGAAGAGAAGCAAGAGGAAGGGAGGAAAAGGTAAGTTGGTAAGTATATATATTGTATAAATGTATGGAACTAGACCTGAGGAAGTGGCTCAGCAGTTAAGAGCCCTTACTGCTCTCACAGAGGATGAGTGTTGAGTTCCCAGTATTTAACAGGGTGGCATATGAACACCTGGTAACTCTAGTCCCAGGGAAGCTCATACCATATTCTGGTCTCTTCAGGCACATGTTCACATATACATGATGGCTTTTAATCTTTAAAAATGTATCAAACTTTCAAAGAATAAGAAATCATAAATAAACATCTCCCATTAATTTTGTAAAGTAGGAGGAAAAACCAGGCATAGGTCTGGGAACAAAACTGCTTGCCCGGCGTCTCAGTAACCGAGACGTCTGTGAGACACAGTATACACACGAACAAAGGCAAGAGGCCAACACTAAAGCTTTAAAAGACAAAACAAAGCAAAAAACCAAAAGCAAAAAAGCAAACAAACACAGATAGTTTGTTTAAATCAGATGTCAGCACTCACAAACTAGAGAACTATTCTCTCCCCTCTCAGTTCCATGGAGACACCTATTGGGCTGGCATTCATAGTGCTACAAACCTCAGAATTATTGGTTAGTATTTACAAATTAACACACAGATCAATAGACCTCTCTCCCCAAGGGGCTTACCTCCCAGCCTCTGGGAACTAGGTAATATGCTAACTTCCACAAAAAAAGAAATTTAGTGTAGGGCCCGGGTCTACCCTTGCTCCTGGGGTGCAATTTATTTATTAATTAAATTTATTAATTAAAGGTTACAATTTAGCAGAAGTGGTTAAGATCTCGAGCCAAGGAGATTACCCTTATTGCCAGGTGGACCTACGTCATCACAGTTCTTAGAAGAGGGAAGCTGGAGGCCAAAGAAGGAAGCTGGAGGCCAGAGAGAGATGCTCGGCTGCTCTAAACATTCTCAGAAGAAAGGCATGCCTCTGGGCCGAGGAATGCTGGTAGCTGTTAAGATAGGAATAGAGAAACCTTGGAAACGGATTCTCTTTTAGATCACAAGGTCAGACTTCCGACCTTTGGAATTGTAAAACAATCTACTTGTGCTGTTTAAAGACACTATGACTGCTATAGCAGCAATATAAAACCCCACACAGGAGACCTGGCCGTGTTAGACTGGGTCCTCACACAGAGGAACAACTGTGGGTGTCCTCATCCAGGGAAGATCCTCGCTTGCTATCGAGTCCTTTCCTATCCTGTCACTTCATTTAGTTATAACCTCCACTGAGGCTTCTGAGCCAGGGACTTTGGGTTGACACAATTCTACAAGAAAGGTGGAGCCACTGTCAAAAGTAGCAGGAAACAAAGAGACACCAGCCACCCTGGCTCCAAGGCCAGGTGAACTGCATTCTGAAAAGCTTTCGCCTGGGGAAATGAGTACTGATGGATGGGGAGGGAGGGACGTGAGCGCTGAGAGACTTTGCTAGGATTCTCCAGGGGTATCATGCAGCAACTTCCTCCCAGCTGAAACCGTCCATTCTGGGAGGGAGGTTAGCTCCTTTTTCTAAGGATCAAAAGATGGAAACAAAGCATATGGAACTCTGTGTGTGTGTGCGGAAAGCAGAGATTTCTGAGTTGTGCCTGTGAGGGAGAAAGGAGTTGGGGTAAAGGACGCTCATATACTTAACACCAATGGTGCTGGGAAGATCTCCACTCCCGATTAGACTTGTGTTTTGCGTCTTCAAGGAGTCATGTACTTGAATGCTCATTGCTTTAGACAATGTTACGCTGGTACATATGAAAAGCAAGTCTGTAAGAAATGTCATTGTCAAGAAAAGATGTTAGATTTTTTAAAGTTATATCCTGATTTTTTGTCTCTAAAGCACCTTAAAATAAACACTAAATATCTAGAAATTTGAATTTGTATCACATAAAGATTAACTTCATAGTTAAATTGTCAATATTATCATCTCCGAGGCTACTAGTGCACAGCAATGTGGATAAGAAAGTCTCCTTTGGAAATTATAGTGCAAAATATACCTTCTTTTTGACAGGGAATTATTTTATCATTAAAACTATGGCAAAAGTCTTTCTCTTCTGCATTCTTCTTCCTCTTTTTGAAAATACTGATGCTTTAAGGGTGTGGTTATAATTTTCTCTTAAAATTCCTTTAAAAAGTTTTTAAATAAAGATTTACCTTTTAGGAAAAATCTTTCAAAGCCTACTTGAATATTCCTTTTCCAGTCTTTGATTAGTAATACACTACACACTCATTCAGTGTCATGGTTATCTCATGAATAATGATTTTAGCATACTGGGTGTGGACACATCTGGTGCCTTTCTGTGAGGGGTTTTGCTTTTAGTATAGTTCTACTTGTTGGATAGTAAAAGAAAACATAATGTCGTGAGTCAATATAAAAATACAATAAATTATTATTTATTAATATATTTATATTGTACCTCTTTGGCTCCCCATTTCTTTTTAGTATATTTAGTAATTTGTTTTCTTCCTAAGGCATAGGCTAACAAAATCCACGTACTAGTCATAAGAGACTTAACTTTCAAGTTGTTGGTCAAAGGAGTCGAAGAAATTTCCAGAACAATATAGGCTACTGCTATTACCTTGGGTTTCCTCCCAGGGAAGTCTGGGAGCAAGTCTCTGTTTCTGAAGACACCATACATTTCAGACACAAGACTCAGAAGAATCAACCTAGATGTGGCCCCAATACCTCTCCCTGAGGACTAGACTCCATGATACCAGAAGGAGCCCCACAAACTGCCGAGGGAGGGGAACATTCAATATTCCTACTTAGCTATGAAACCTATGAACCACAGCAATGGCCAAGATGCCATGATGTCCCTAAAGGTGCAACAGTACCACTTACATCCCAGCACTCACTGTCAGCTGTCTAATCATGTCTGATACTATAAACCCAGCCAATTATCCAGGGCTAGTGAGGTCAGAGATCCTATAGGAGCCGATTACTGACACTTCGTTTCACCAATATAGTTCCTACTGCCTTCTAACTTCCTAGTCTCATACTCAGATGTATACAGGTAAGTGAAGCTCTCCGTCCTCATCAAAGGAGCTGCTTTATGAAGAAGACACAGGCTGTCTTAGTGATGAAGATGCTGTTTAAACCACGGGAAGCAAGCCAGTAAATTGCACTCCTTTGTGGCCTTTGCACCAATCAGCTCCTGCCTCCAGGTTCTTGCCCTGTGAGTTCCTTCAGTACCGGACTACAATATGAACTCACAAGACAAATAAACCCTTTCCTTCCTGAACTGCTTTGGTCATGCTGTGGAATCACAGTGATGAATCCTTGAACCAGGAGCTGGAACAAACTATTCTTTCTTTAAAAAAAAAAAAAGAAAGAAAGAAAGAAAGAAAGAAAGAAAGAAAAGGA